GCGTCTGCAAGAAGTAGTCGGCAGACTCGAGGACGACCGACGAGCGTCGTCTCGATGAATAATTCATAATACTGCATGTTGTGTGTTTCAAGCGAGGGGTGCGTGGGTGGGGACATGGGGCGAAAGGCAAGTTGATACGAACAATGAGATCAACCACGTTGGCATCTACTGGGTGGACATCGGTGTGCCACCAGGTAGTTGGTAGAGCTGCGTTCGAGTCGCGGCGGGTCTCCTCACGTTACTAAAGGCATCACTGTGCTATGCTCGTCTCGTCAAAACAAACCTAAATTGTTCCTTGGCGTCCATGACCCCCTCGTTGCCCCGCACAACAATTCGAGTTGTTGGGTGTGATCGTTGATATATATAATGTAGTCGATGGACTATGACCTGTCGAGGGCCACAAGGTCCTTATATAGCTTCTGCACGCGCGGGTCTTCCATCAACTTTTTGGCGTGGTAGCTGTCGAGGAGTTCGTGCAACTTGACCTCGTCGCGGGGCTTGGCGGCGCGGGCGACCGGAATGTCATCGCCAGTCGGCGTCTGTGCGGCGGACGACGAGTCAACTGACGAGACATCGATCCAGACCGTCTCGAGGTCCCGTGCGTAGTTGGCGATCAAACTGCTCGGGCGCTTGTGCGTCGTCTCGGTGCTGCCGAGCGTGGACCGGGTCGTGCACTCCCACGACTCGGACGTCGTGTTGCGCTCGAGGAGACTCACGCCGCGCAGCTCCTCGGAGCACTCGACACACACTTGGCTCTTCTGGAGGCGCCGCCACATGCTGGTGAGGCTCCATTTCGGGTGGCACGATTCGCAAATCGGCCGGTCGCACTCGCGGCACGTGGCTTTCGAGCCCGCAATCGTCTCATTGCACGTCGGGCAGACATAGCGATGCGCTCCGTCGGTGACGGCCGAGTGCACGGCGCGCGCACACGCCGCGCGCTGCGTGGCAATGTGCGCATGGAGCGTGAGCATCTGCGTGACCCACTTTGTGAGGTACGCCATGTGGTCACGCTCGGGGAGCGTGTACTTGAGGTCGATCGAGCAGAGCGAGTAGCAGTCGAGGACGCCGGGCGTCGCCGACTGCACAAACACTTGGCCCGACTGGTAGATCTCGGCACGGTAAATGTCCTGCGCGAACGGCGGGCACGCATCGACGTCGATCGAGTGGAGCGACCGGACCCACCCGTGGCGTTGCTCGCCTTGGTGAAAAAACTGATTTTGGCTCTCGAGGTAGCAAAGGTCCCGCACCGGTGTAAAGTCGCCGAGCCGCGGCGCCTCGAACGCCGTCCACTCGATACCCGTGTACTGCATCGGGCTCTCTTCGCTCGGCTCCATGAGGGTATACAGCGTCGTGCTGCCGAGAATCGGGCGCCCGAGCATCGACACAAACGACTCGGCTTCGTGCGTGTTGAGGCGCTGAAAGCACGCCGCGGCCTCGGCGAGCGACGCGCGGAGCTGTGTGTGGCCGCACATGGAGTAGTTCGCAGCGTTGCCTGGCTCGTGGCCCGCGTGGAGCGTCATGCTTGCGCCGGATGTAGGGTCCGTGTAGACGCCGTAGACCGGGTACGCGCGGACGGCTTCGACTGCCTGGATGGTCTCGACGCACGCTTCGACGCTGGCGTCGTTCCAGTGCTCGGTGGCCGTCGGGCCCAGCGGTGGACACTCGAACGCTACGTGCTGCATGGGGTGATAAAAATACTGGTTTACGTGGTTTACGCCGACGGCGTCTGTAGAGGCGACCTGCACAGGCGATGGACCACGTGCAGATCCAGCGTATCCCGAGACATATTCAATTACAGCGAGGGCTGGGACACGACAGCGCTGCTTGTACAGCTAGGTGCTGGCTTCGACGCGAGGCAAACGCAGCCACGGACCAATGAGCACACAGGTCGTAATTCGATGTCTACGCACGACTCGTGTCGACGGACCGCAGCACGACGATCGAGGCGAATGATGGCACCCACGTCCGCGCGGGCGACGGTTGGCGCGTCACCATGGACGTAGCTGCAAGAGACCGTCACTGCACTCACATTTGGTGTCTTGCAAGGGTACTAGGTATCAACGCAAATGGTTTCCTCGACCATTCTTGCGAGGCTCAATACGTACGATGCAGGTGTCAGACACTTCAACGTCCAGTGCGTCGGTCGTGCGCGATCTTGCGTGCACTCGCCTTTAGAACCGTATGATGCGAGACGCATTACGAGTGATCGCAACAGGCGGCCATATCATTGGCACTTGGTTTGTTCAATGTGCAACCACGTAGGACGATAGCGTCGCACGAGGACGCAGGTCGCGAGTCGGGGCCAACGCGAGGGTATGTATGCGCATAAGCCTCTGTTTCGAGGATGGCGGTCCAGTGACGCGGTCCATCCATCTCTGCACCGCCCGACATGTGACATGCATCTTGAACCCGATACCACATGTTTTGAGCAAGCCGTTACAGCCCGCTGCAGAGGGACGTGGCAAGCGCCACGATGAGAGCGCCACGATGAGAACGCGATCGCCGTGGCAGCCCACCTTGGGCTAGTAGTTTGTACAATATTGTATACTAGTTCGATAGCGCGTAGGTATTTCTGCCTGCAAAAGAGCTCAATCGGTGCATGCGGCGTGGTCGTGGTCGATGAACGCGATGTCGATGCGTCGGCTGTTGCGTGTCTTTGGTCCATGGGGCACCGAGGGACCTCGTCGACAAGAGGCCTGGCTCGTCTACCATCATCCAATACTGATACACCGGTTTGAACGTAATCAGCCACGAGCCACTTGTCCAGATTCCAGATAGAGCGGTCCTTTTGCAACCGCATCCACAAAGCAAGTCCAAATCGGTGCGGAACCAGCCGCCCACATACGCGGATGGAGCCTGCGTACACAGCTCCGAGTCCGTCCTTGCGCAGAGCATTCAATTTTCAATTGTCCGCAGTGCTGACGCAAGCCGACTCGTTTTGCTCGCGTCTAAAATGTACAATGATGTCATGTCCTCGCTAGGGTGCTTGCAAGACCTCAAACAAGACATAAAAGAGGGTGTGGTATGGTACACTGCATTTCGTGTTGGCTTAGTTGGTGGACGGAATGATGATTTCGGCGCGACCTTGGACCTTGGGGCACACGCTGCGGTCCGGAAGCGCCGCAATGTATTCCTCCAAGAGCATATCGACGCGCGAGGCCTCGTTGGGCGACACGACAAAGGTGCTCTTGGCGCCCGACTGGTCGAACTGGCCCTTGACGTTCTCGGACGTGACGACGTGGAACACATCGTCGTCCTTGACGTCGCCGGTGCGCGTCGTCGACATCCACTTGAGCTCCGAGACTTCGGCGTTCTTGACGCCGAGGCACTTGATCTTGTACGAGAGACCCGCGACGTGGGCAAAGTACCCGTTCTCCGCGACGACGCGCTCGCCGCAGCTGGCGTTCATAATAAACTTGAGGAACGTCTTAAAGTTGGCGCCGTCGGTCTTGATCGCGACCATCATGTCACCAAAGGGCGACCACGAGACCACGTCGCCGAGCGTGAGTGTGTTGGCGCCCCAGACCTTGTCGGTGCGGATGCCACCACCGTTCATGACGCCGACTTCGACTTGGACCTTGCCGTAGAACGACTTGTACGCGTCCGCAAAAAAGTTGCCAATCGGCGCTTCGCCAAATCGCACGGCCTTCTTGGTGAGGTCCGTCTCCGCGCAAAGCGACCCGATCACACGGTTGAAGAGCGTCGCGATCTTGGCTTCGTACGTCGCGATGACGCCTTCGAACGCCTCGTCCGTCGGCATATCGCCCGTGATCGCGAGGTTCTTGTGGCTCTGCTTGATGAACGGCGCGAACTTGTTCTTGCCTTCGGTCGACGGGCCGTAGTACTTGATGTCCGAGACCCACACTGAGCGAAAGTTGAGGTCCGACTTGAGGTACCACGCGCCAAACGTCGACTGCAGCATCGCCGAGTGGTCGTGGCCGCCGTAGATGATGTCGACGCCCTTGACGTCCTGCGAGAAGCGGTTGTCATCGTCCCAGAGCTGGTGCGTGAGTGCGATGACCATGTCGACCTTCTCGACTTCGCGAAGGTACTTGACCTGCTCCTTCGCCGCCGCGATCGGGTCGGTCCAGTACATGCCCTTCGAGTCGTCCTTCATGTCGTACATAACGCCGAACGCACCAATCTTGATCGTACCCATCGTCGGCGACGTGAGCGTCTTGACCGCGTGCGGGGTCGTCTCGCGCAGGAGCTGACCCGTCGCCTTCTCGTACGCGTTGGCGTTGAGCCACGGAAACTTGGAGGCCTTCGAGACGTTGAGGAACGCGTCAATGCCAAAGTCAAACTCGTGGTTGCCGAGGCACGCAAAGTCGACGTTGAGTGCGTTGTGCGCCTCGATCATCTGGAGGCCCTTGAACTGACCGGACCAGAGCGACGGCGACATGGTGTCGCCCGCAAAGATGACCAAGCTGTTCTCAAAGTTCTTGCGCATTGTGTGGACGAGCGGCACGACGCGGGACGGACCGCCGACGAGCACACCGTGCTGGGTCGCATCGTCCTCGGGCTTCATCTCGTACACGTCGTTGTACGAGAGGATCTGAAGCGACGCCGTCGGCGCGCGCGTCACGACGGAGCTGTTGGCGCAGTTGGCGCCGAGGACGCTCGCGACCAGCGAGAACAACACGGCAAGTTGCATCGGGACTTGAAGGCTTGAAGGCAAATGCAAAAGTGAAAAGAGTTGAAAAAGAGACTTGGACGACGGCGGCATACCAGCGTGTCGCAGCGCGACGGGAGCGGTGTGTAGGGGACGTCTGCACCAATCCGATGGCTTGGGTCCGCATGTCCTGCAAACAGTTGGCCATCAAGATTGCGGCGCCCCAAGATACAGACGCCACGTGCGTTCGATGGCAGCCACGTAATTTGCTCAGGCGGGTGACGGTGCTGTGGTCCTTGAGCCGTCGCACCCATGCAACGGCGTCGCTCACAAGGCGGGACCAGGTCGGGGCCGTCGCGTTGCCGTTGGCGCCCAACAATGTATCAACTAGCATGCCACACGCCGTCGCCCCGGCCATGCACACGACGGCGCTTCAAGGCGGGTGATGATGATGATGCTCGCTCGGTGGGAACAGCTCATTTTTGTCACCAAAGGGCATTTGACCAAAGGGCATGTAGCGACGCGGTGGAGAGTAGTACAACAGAGTACAACTCTACTGGCATCCTCAGATCACCTTGGCACACACAACCCGCCGTGGCGCAACTTTTGAACCACAGACGTCACGTCGAAAGACAAGAAAGCCGAGGAAGCCAAGCTTTGTAGAGATAGCAAATGCAAGGCAGCAAGGCGGCAGAGTTTGTGCAGCTAGTGTTGGTATGTGCCGTGTGGCTTTGCGGCTGCGACGCTCGCTCACCACACAGTTGGGTGCAAGCGCCGCGAGAAAGGAAGGAGGTACCCATGCACACGATGTAGGGCGTTCTTATTGGGTGCTCTGCGTGGAGATAGACTGGACGACGCCAATGCGTTGGCTGGAATGCCGTCGGTGCGGCGTAATGCACTTGCAGTGTGTCCGTAGCAAACGAGATCGCGCTAGTATGCACGCGTCGCAGCGTGATGACGGCGATCACTTACGTGTGGGGCCAGTGGTGTGGGGCTGTAAAATAGCACCGGTTCAAGTTGTACCGGTATGCTACTCGCCACATGGCGAGTAGCGTAGCCCTAGTCTTCTCTCTTGCAGCTCACTTTGGACGGTTGCAACGCGTTGACTGCAATGCTCGTGCAAGGCGTCGCGGCCTCTACCGCCACCGGCCCTCTGTGCGTCTCAGACGCAAGTCCACGCTCTACCAGTGGCAATCAATCATGTCTTCTTGCCGAGCACCACTCATTTTCCCTCCGCGTAAACGAAACTGTTTCTACGTTTCTACCAGAGCTGCCACATGACACATCCAACAAGGCCAGAGCTGTTGCTGTGGTCGCGATGCTGAGCGGTTGGCCCGCTGCCCCGCGTCGTCTGTGACGCACCAACTTTGGCCGCTTCAGTCCTAGTGCCAGTGAACAGATACTGCTAGATCAATGTGACGCTTGTATACGAAAGACGCCCAATTCATCAATGCACTGGAGGTAACGCAGTTGGAAATAACCATCATGGACGATCTTGGTTGTCCCACAAGAGTATGCAAAGTCGGGTAGAAGTACCTTTCTACGGTCCACCGCCTTTCAGATCCCTTATAAACACCGTTTGACGGCTATTTCTGGATCGTCCGGATACACTGGTGGCACGATATCCGAACCGCCGACCGGCCTTTAAAATCGAGGTTCGAAGGTCGACCGCCGATGCGCCACGAGTTCGAGAAGCGGCGCCAGCCCGATCGCTGTGGCACGGGCTTCCGCTCCACCGTGTGGCTCAACTGGGACTGCTGCGGCCTCGTCTGTGCCGCCATCTCGTGGTTCCTCGTCGTCTACGCCGAGTACGTCGTCGTGGTAGGTGCCATGCCACTGCTCATTCCGGCGGCGTGACGACACGTGGGCTAGGGCGTCGTGCTCGTGCCCTGGATGGGCGCCAGCCTGCTTGGCCT